GGGGGAAGTTTGGGGGGGGGGGGGGGAAGGAGAGAGAGAAGCAGGCAAGTTTGATTCCAATGGAGATGATAGTAAGGGGAAGCCAGGGGAATTTCCCCGTCTTGTCATATCTTCATAAGCGTACCAACCCCACTCAACAACTTGTCATTTTTCATGCCTCACCATACGTCAGGAATTCCTATGTGTTCAATACAATGCACATTTTTTCAAGCCATCCATATAGGCTTGAAATCATCTGTCAGTCTTTCCCACCAAAAGCTGATAGAGCGATCTGTGGCCAAAAGCCACCTGGGTCCCTCCCACCACTGCCAGCAAGGGACAGGTTAAGAGCCATGTTGTCTGCCTTGAGTAAAAGTCTTTCCCACAGGCTCTTACCTAGGCTCTGTTCAGTTACCTGAAGGGCCAAAACCTGTCTCCATCTGTAGTGGGCACCATCAGGGCTCCACTCAGAGCCCCTCAGATTCCCTCTCCGTTTCTGTGTTTCCTTGGACAGCTTCTGTGTGCTTTCCTTCTAATCGCTTACCCCTGTGACTTTCCTCAGAGGCTGCTCTTGGGCTGCCAGACCGGCCCTGCCCTCAGCTTCAGAGAACCGGAAGTGCCTGTGAGCCAACGATTGACCAGCGCAGGAGTATGAAAACCCAGCTCCCTTGCCTCAAGTCAGGGCCACTCTAACGTGTCATTTAAGCTCCATAGCTCTCGCTGGGATGAGGCTGGGATTGAGCCTGAAATCACACCTCGTCTTGCCCTCTTCTCCATCATGTTCTGCTACCCCAGCTCCCTCACCCGTTTCTCCTTGGAGCACTCCCTTAATAAATCACATGCAAACACGGTATCATCTCAGGGTCTCCTTCTGGGGAACCTGCCGTAAGACACCATCTCTCGTCCATCCGTGTCCACAGACTACCTTTCCTTGAATAATCATCCCCTCCCCGTCATCTCCTGAATCAGCCTCCCTTTGGGGAGGTTATCTTATGAATATAAACATGGTAAAGGAGAGTGTCACCGTTCAATGTTCTGCACTTTATCATCAGGTTTCTAGGCAATTATAAACCCAGCCTGGCGGTGTCCGTGTCCATCTTATGTGTACAGCCTTTTGAATAAGGAAATTTCATTAACACATAAGGGTGACCTGATCCCATTCCTCTAATAGAAAGAAGTAAGAAGTTTAGAGTTGAGTTTCTTCTGGTCCATCCACTTATTAACCTTCGACAAGTGAGCTAACTTTTATTTTATTTTAAAAAGTAAAAGCCTTTTTCCTTGCTTATTAAAGTAATACATATTCTTCGTGGGGAAGAAAACTTGGAAAATTTAGAAAAGTATAGTAATCCGAGTAGGCTAACATCGACAAGTGCTTTTCAGTACATTTCTAACCAACCATTTTTCTATGTAGATGTTCTTACATAATTGTGATGGATGTTACTTGTGCCCATCACTTTGTTCTCTCCTCCTTCCAGGTAATGGGACAATTATACTTCCTTCTCCCGTCGATTTTAAGCATGGCCATACGACTTGATTTGATCAATGAAATGTGAGCAGTGTATTTAAGAGCTGGTGTGCCGTTCTCCAGGCCGTCTTCCTGCTAAGGTAAACCCCGAAGCTTCAAGTTGAGACAGTGGCTACTCCACCAGCCTGGGTACCTGAAAAACTATAATAGCAGAGCTCCCTGCCAACCCAAAATGAACACGTAGTATATAAAGAAATAAACTGTTATCTTAAGCCATTGGAATTCAGCAGATGTATTAGTTTGCTAGGGCTGCTGTAACAAAGTACACAGTTCTAAAGGTTAAAGGTCCAAGATCAAGGTTTTGGTATGGCTTGGTCCCTTCTGAGGGCTATGAAGGAGCACCTGTTCCATCACTCACTGCTGGATTCTGGTGGTTTACTACCAATCTTTGGCATCCTTGGCTTGTAGAAGCATCACCCTGATCTTTGCCTTTATCTTCACCTGGCATCCTTCCAGTGTATGTGTCTGTGTCCAAATTCCCCCCTTTTAATGAGGACACCAGCGTATTTGATTAGGGCCCACCCTAGCAACCTCATCTTAACTACTCGTATACGAGGATATATAATGATCCTACTTCCAAATAAAGTTGCATTCTGAGGTACTAGGGGTTAGGACTTCGACGTGACTTTTTGGAGGACACAGTGCACCCATACTAGTGGCCGTTTGTTACAACAGCATATCTTAGCCTAAACTGACCACGATAGGGGTCACCCTCCTCATGCTGTTTTTTAACCTCTTGTTTTCCACTTTCTGAGGTTAAATTACTTGTCCATGGTCACAAAGCCAACAAGAGGGAAAAACGGAACTCTAATCCAGGTTTCCCTGATTCAGTAGACTGTGCTCTAGCTGTTCTCCAGAGGTTGGTCCCTGAAAGTCACGAGCCTTGCCCGCACAGCCCCCACCACTCCCTGTTAACCCCAACACTGAGTGGAAGTGCTGTTTGTCTCTGGGCTTGTCCTGTGTACCCTGACTTTCCTACACGCAGCCCAAACTACATATTTATATTGCTTATTTTCCCCCATGGGCATTGCATTTGCAACCTTACCCGACGCTATCGTTCTTCTATAATAGAAATCTAAAAGGGTAAGTCATGCCCTTTTAATTCACCTACCAGGTCAACGAAAACCCGAGAGTAATTAAGATAATCTGTGCCACTCTCCCCCTGAACGCCACCTGTCCCAACTCTCTGCTCCCACTTTCTGTGCACAGACCCACGGACGGGGTCTCCATTACCCATCTTGCACTTGTCTTCTGCTAAGAAAATTTCCTCTCAAAGGAATGAGCCAGGAATAAAAATACTTGGTCAATTAAAGCAAATCGGTTGTCAGGAAATAGCAGCTCCTCCTGTGTACATCCTTGATAAAAAGG